GATGAGCCTGGCCTTACCACTGACTAAGCTCCAATGTCTTTTTTAAAACCCTGACACTCTGTCTCCCAGAGGTCAGCTGCTCACCCTAGATGTGAAGCACATTATTTCCCAGGCCTGCTGTAATTTATGCAGACTTGTATGCAGATTCCATTTTAAATACGTTAGCATACCGCTTCTAATCTGTCATTTTGGAGGTGGTGCCAATGTGAAGCAGGAAGCCACTGGGCTGGAAACCACAAGACCTGGAGTTTCAGGCATGAAATTGGTGGGAGACTTCGGGACGGTCACTTACCCTCTGGGTCTCAGTTTTCCCAATTGGAGAACTAGACCAAAATTTGTTCCAGCTAAAAAATGTTATCTAGCTCAGATGATCCACCCTGAAATTAGTGAGTAATTTGAATTGTGATCTATAATGAAAACACAATAAAAATACAAAGATTTAAACTGAAACTATGAAAAGCAGACTTGTCGGATAGTAGGCAAAAGCCAAAACATCAGAAGCTCTACCCAGTAAGATTTGATAACAATGAAAACTGACCAGTGACTCAACTCTTCTTTCAATGGTTATGTAGAAAATAATTTAAACAAAAGTACTTTCAGGGACATAAAGATAGAAAAGTGTGAAATGGCTCCAATGCTATTGTCAGAAAAATGTAGCTTAATAAAATTTGTTCTAGAGAAAGGTTCTTTAAAGTCATCGGTATAGTTGATGTTTCGCTTCCAATGCTCTATTTCTGCATGCAGAGTCAACCCTTCCTTGGAGTCGAAATGATGACCCAGTGACAGAAGAACTACCTGTCCTGCATTTCAAAAGCCATGACAACACCCAAAGAGATCCTGACAGTGACTCTGACGTTTGGAGAAGGACAGAGAAAGACCCTAGAAGAAGCAGCAAGGTGGACTCGACAGTGATGGCCACAGGTTGTCACCAGCCAAGGACAGAGAATGAGACCTCCGATCTACACTACAGCAGTATTAAGTTAGTACATGTCTGTAAATACACATGCACACACACATATACACACATACATACACCTACACACACACCGGAGTTGGTACCATCAGAGGGGTGTGTGTGTGGTAGGCGTGTGTGTATATCGATGCCTATAAATGCATGCACTGAAGAGCACTATACTGTTCTATACTTCTTGCTAACTGAGCCCCTCTGGGCATTAATAAAAAATAGATATTTTAGTTATTTCTCCAAAGATGTCTTAGAGAAAACTCAGTCCAAACCTGGCATTTTACAGACAAACTGAGGCTCAGAAAAGGCCACTGCCCCAGGTGACATCATAAGGTGACATGCCCCAGGTGACATGCCCAGGATGTCAAAGGCTCAGCACCTCTAGGCAAGGTCCACCACGGGGCAACAAACTACCTCCTCCCTTGGCCTGGCCCCTGAAGGCTGGCTGCAGCTGCCTTTGGTTTTCCTGGGCATCGCTTGACGGGAATACGTGGGGACGCTTGCTCTCTGCCTCAAGCACCGTTTCTCTCAGGGAGAGCTGTCATTCCTTTAATTGGACGCTTTAAAAGTAAGCATCCAAAGACAAGTCTACTTTGGTTTCGATTTTTAAATTAAGATCTGTGGAGTTTGGCAGGGAGCGAGGTTTCCTGTTTGGCAGACACACACGCATGCTTCTGTTTTGTGCGTCTAATGTTGAAAAGCAAGGCCATGGCTAAGGTCTGTTGTTTGCCTTATCGGACGCCTGACATTTGGACAGTGTCCTCCGTCCAACCCTCACAGAGAATGCCTTTGTTAACGCCAGGGCTCTTTCCCTCCTGCATTCTGCTCTCATCTCCACCCGCCGCCCCCACCCTCTGCTGAGCGTTACTGGGCAGGAGCTCCGCCAACATTTTAAAATCACCTACATAAAATGCAGACCCCTTGCCACGTGGTGAAACCCTCCCTATCACAAACATATGTGGGCCTTGCTTCTTTTGTTACCCACTTTTTGGCTGCCAGAGGAGTGCCATTTCAGCTCTCAGTGGGTTCTGCATTCATGAGAAGGGTCCGCAGGCTTTCTTGTGATATTTGCCACAAGTTCCTGAGTGGTGGCCAATCCCTTTTCTCACCTCAGTGACACATGCAGCCACAATCTGGTCTCCCCAGCTGACACTCTGTGCACAGAGCTGAGTAGGACATGTGCAATGCCAGGCCTTGGAATGCTCACAGGCTCGGCTGGGATGGTGACTTACAGGTGGCAGAGGTAGCTGACAAGGAATCTGTAAGATGTGCTGAGTGTGCCCAAAGCCATCGTCCTTGGGAAGTAGTGCAGCAGATGAGGGACAGGCGACATGCCTGCTGCTCCCTGGCTGCACAACATGCAAGTCTGCCCTTAATGGCCTAAACATGAGTATTTCAACTTTTCCCTAAGAGTTGACTTTCCATCAAACATCTTCCCTGACCTTGACTTTTATCATTTATGGATTGGCTAAAAAATCTGCTTAGTTTTTTCCATAAAATAAAAGACACATTTTTCATTTTCACCCATAAAACTTCATTCTTTGGATATTTGAGTATGTCGGCTACCTCTGGCCATTGGCTTCTGGTGGGTAGAAGTCAGGGGTGGTGCTAAATATCTTCTAATGCATAAGACAGCCTCACAGAGAAGAATTATTTGGCCAAAATGTCAATAGTACCAAGAAACTTCACAAACCACTTTCAACACACTCACTCAGTCACAGCACCTTCTCCAGACACTGCACAAATCTTTTTTTGTGTTCAGTTGCATTTTTACTTTTCTTGAGATAATGAAGTATAATATGCCAAAAATGTTGCACATTTTCTTCCATCTTCAGTATTAAAATGGCGGCACAAAAATGCACCAATTTTGATTTTTTTAAAATAAAATGCACACTGATATGACAGCTGACACAATTCAGTCTAACAAAATGGTTTCCAATGAAACTGAAGACAACTAAGCACTACTAGACCCATTCATTGTATGGAAAAAACTAAATGAACATTTTGGCCAACCCAATATAATTTTTCTCTTGTTATGTACATTCTTTACAAGTGATGCAGGGTAATAATGATAATGATAATACTAGCAAATGTTTACTAGGAGTCAGGTACTGGGCTACGCTTACGAGCTTATTGAATCCCTTCAAGAATCCGATGAAAATGCCATAGACCGTTGTTTAAGAAGTGGATCATAGTTCTGGAGCTTTCAGTTCTAGAGCTGAGAAGTCCACAAGATCAAAGTGCTAGCCGATTTGGTTCCTGGTGGGATCTCTTTCTGGCTCCCACAATGCTGCCTTCTTGCTATGTCTTCACATGGCAGAGGGGGTGGGGCAGGGAGTGCAAGTAGGCTTTCCGTGTCTCTTCTTATAAGGACACTAATCCCATAGAATCAGAGTGCCGCCTTTATGGCCTCATTTAACCTAATTACTTCCTGTCTGTCCTACCTCCAAATACCATCACATCTTAAGCTAGGGCTTCAACATATGACTTTGTGGAGACATACTTCAGTCCATAGCAAGGAGGTACTGTTTCTATCCCTATTTTTGGGAAGAGGAAATTGGGGCACAGAGAGGTAAGAAACTTACCTAAGGTCATGTTGCTATCAAGTGAAAGATTTGGAATGCAAATCATGGTCTTCCTGACTCAAATACTCATGTCTCTAACCACTGCCTTATACTGTTTCTGTATACGTATAGGTGTATGCAATAGTTGATTCTGGGCAAAGAGGCAATAAAACCGATAAACTACCATGAAGTCATAGTTAAGGGACTGGAAACCTGCATGCAGCTTTAGGGAGACAAAATTGACGTTGACATAGCACTTTCCATCTTCTCTCCAGAACTCCCTGCATGTAAACAGACACTCTTTCCTGCCCTCCCTGGCCCCATTTTCAGACCTCACACATGTGCTGCCAGAATCGTTTCTGTTGAGTCATTGAGCTTGCCATTCCACCAGTCTTTAAGCCTTTGGCATAATTTACCTCGATATAGAAACTATAACACTATAACTTTTCCAAGGTAGAGTTTCCTCTCACTCAAGCCCAGAAATATGTCTTTCAACTATTTTCTTTGTCCAAGGCAGTTAACATTCTGGGCAATATCTACATTTCTTACATGTTTCGGTGGTTGGAATGGCTGGAGTTGCAGACACAAAGCTGCCCTTTTTACATTAGAACACACATCATTTTACTTGATCTATCATTTCTTCCAACATAAATGAGTAATACATATTATAACCCAGTAACCCCCAAGAAATTCTTTGTGAACTCTCATTTATTATCTCAAAGCAAAGTACTTTCAAGGAAGTAAGTGTCTGATTAATTTCTGTTTGGAGCATGTATTTGCCTCATGGAAAATTCAAGCATTTAGAAGCTGTAATTCCAAATACCCAGAGAGGTGGAATTAAGGTCCCAAAGTCGCCTCAAATAAAACATTGTAGGGGAAAACAGTCAAGTCCAAAAGATTTAAATTTCTTGTCTTGACTAAGCAAAGGCTCACTGAAGGGCTTTCTGAATTTCTCCAAAAACTTTCTGGAGGTGAATGGTGTAATCTTCATGTAATTACGGGGAAGCCCTGCACATCCTTGAGGGGCTGAGACCCACAAACCAAAGGCACAGGGGACACCCCCAAAGTGGAGGTCACACTAGGGCCATGAGAGCAAGATTTTGTCCTGGGTTCCATGTACAATGTCCACACGGGATCCCAGATTTGCCAGCAGAGATCGCATCCACCCCTCCTTCTGTAATTCTTTCAAGTTTCCCTTTGTCCTCCGATAGACTCATTCTTTCCATAATGATTCCCCCTCTACGGCTGAGGATTATCTTTTTGATTGTTGAACCAGACCTACCTACACGTTGGCCTTGATACTTCAGTACAGACTCAGATCACTCCCCTCTTGTGGAAAGCAGACGGCAGAAGAAATGTTTTGGCTGACATGACTCTGCTTGAAGCCAGCCAGGCCTTACTGGCTCTCAGGCTTTGTCGTCAGTCCCACTGTCCTAGTCCCACTACCCACAGGCACCACGGCATTTTCATACCTGATGGAAGTTACCCACTTGCTGCACATAACCGGCCACTTCCTGATCAGACTTAAAGATCTTCCAAATCTTTCATTCTGCTTCCCTGTATTCCTGGGATCCTTTCCAATTTATGGTGATCAAATAGTTCTCAATCAGGGATACTGGCATGAGGTTGTCCATTTGGCCACCGTACATGAGAATCTAGATGAAATTGAAGCAGATAAAAATGCAGGATTTAGTAAGCGAAGCCAGAGACTCTATCCAGGTAGAGAAGGTGTGCATGCACAGGCACACACTTGAGAGAAAAGGGACCATTGTGAGCTTGTCTGATGCAGGCAGTGCTCGGAGAGGCCCGTCCCACAGGGCAGTGGGGTCGTCTTCTTCCAGGTGGCCACACACGCCGGCAACCTGAAATAAACTCAAGCCTTGTCTCAACCCTTGCATTGGCCCAAAAGATTGATCCTTTCGAGGAATCTACATAAAGGCCTTCTTTGGTTGCAGCAGTGTTTATGCCGTATTGCTCAGGGACGTCACATACTCAGATGTATGACTATGTCAAAGAGGACAGTCATTACCACATTTTAGTGGGACTAAAGAATGCCACCACTTAACACCTTCATGCAGCCTGCCTTTTATTAACTTGGCTTTCAGACCCCACGGTAGCTGGTGGTCTGGGCCTTTTCTGAGGGGTTGCGAACCTGTATTTCTCTCCTCTCCCACACTGATTTTACAGTGGCAGCTACAGTCTTTTGAGGCAGACAGACAGGTACAGGTGCCTCATGTTTGTTACTTGTTGGAGACAACTATGTCAGCCATGAAACTTCCAAGACCTCCTTTTCTTAAATAAGATAGCCACTTATCAACCGTGAAAAATGCCCTATTGTCCCAGAATTTAATTTTTTTTTTCTCAATGCTGATGAGTTGTGAAATTCCCAGGACAGTGTAGCATGGCCCTACTCTTCAGGGGAGCAGCGGTCCATTTTCAACACAAAGGTGCTAAGTGTGGAGACCTTTTGTCCCGGTAATCCCAACCTTTGAAATTTACTTTATGAAAATAAGCCCCCAAAAGTGAAAAAATACATAACTCTATTCATTAGTCTCATCACGATAAGAAACTCGAACGCAATCTAAAAGTTCCGAAATGAGTGAGTGCTGCAGTGAAGGGAGTTGTAGAAGTTTCTGGGACAGCCCAAAACCACTTACGATGCCTGAGCCACGGACGAAGCTGAACATGCTTGTCGCAAAAGTGCCAAGTGTGAAAGCCACAAGTCAAATATCCATCACAATTACGATTAGCTAAAACAGGTACGCACATTCACAGATATAGAATGAAACTCCAAAAAAAAAATGAATGCAGTCAATTAATTAATGTAGGTGGTGGAAATTTTAGTAATTTTCTCCTTTGTCTTCTACTCTGTCTGCTTAGGCTGTTTTTATGTAACTAACACGATATTAATGCCCATGAAGCATTGCCACTCTATCCCCAGCAGGGAGGTTTTGCTCAACCCCATGGACCCTTTGATCTATTTGGAAGCTCTCTGGTTTGGCTCAAGCAAAGACCTTTGGTTGAATCCTCAAACTGGATATAAAATGTTTCACTGCATGTGTTTCCATCTCCGCCTTCCTGGTGTAGGCTTCTTGAAAGGCTTACACATAATTAAACAGCCCGGGACCTTCACACACTGCAAATCCTCAAGCAGCACGGGCCAGGAATGGGCTGGAGATGAAAGGGCCCTCAGCCTCCGCTGCAAGAACATGGGGTCTTTCATGTCATCCCTCACCATCACCACCTCCCCTCCCCTCAGCAGAAACCCAAAGGGAAAAAATCCCAGTCGATTTAAAGCATCTTTAAAAGACTCAACTCCCCCATCGCAATAAAAATGTGCATTGTTTATACAAAGACATTGCCTCAAAGACCTTGAGTCCTTGGGCCCCAGACAAAACCACCACAGCTGTTTTGCCAACAATATGGAAACAATTATATATGATCTGTACCAGCAAACAAGGCTTAAATGCTTCACCATTCTAGGAAGGCCTGATTATAGCTGATTAATGAAGATAATCATCTATAAAGCAATTCCTCTGCTAGACCTCAGTGAGAAGATGCTGACTGACTAGCAAATGCATGAGCATCTCTGGACGTTTTCCTCTCTGTGGGCTGTGGAGCTTGTGTTTTTCTGACCATCTCTTGTGGCTGCTCACTATGATCAGTATATTTTGGAATTGATTTAAGGGATTTCACTCAATCGATGTCATCTTTAAAGGGTGAAAACCCACAGATGACAGCAAAAACAGGCTCAGATGTAAATCATTTGAGGGCATGTTTGTTGAACTGAATGGAAATGAAACCCATCCATGAGCTGTGTCCCTGGTTCCTCCAGACTTGACATAAACTGGAGCATTAACTCCCTGGAATGAGGTAGTGATGGGCTGAACTGCATAATTTTGTGCATGTGCTGGGTGGAAGGCCCACCTTGGGTGACAAAGGGAAATCCTTCTGCGGCAAAGCAAGGAAAAGGTCTTTAACTTCTAAAGGGCACATAAGTCAAATGCAACCCAAAAAAAAGAAGACAGATTAATGATCAAGTGAAGTGATTTCAGAGCTGGCATTTAAGGCTGCAAGCCTTAAATGTAAGGATTCTCGAGCGCTTGCTTTTATCTAAATGTCACATTTACTCTGGTCAGCCCCTATAGGAATATCCCAGGTGTCTCTGGGGCTGGGTAAGTGAACAACATAACCCAGGATGCAGTGCCAGTGAGTTGAAAAGCCAAGTGGGCGGAGTGCTGGCCTGGGTGGTCCTGAAGTCCACTGGCACATGTGGGTGACCCACGTCCTGAGGGTCAGAGACATTCGAAGACAAAGCACAAGCCCTGGTGGGCTGACCAATAATGTAGGGTCTGCACACATACATTTGCTTCATTTCTTCTCTGTAGGGTGACCAGCTGTCTCAGTTTCTTCCTGGGCTGTGGAGTTTCCCAGGATGCAGGACTTTCATGCCAGTTCTGGGACAGTCTGGGGCAAACCTCCCCCTGAGGCTTGCTGGTATTTTAAGCAACAGGGTCTAAAGACAGAGTGGAGACAGACATGAATGCAGCTCTGAGCTCCACTTCCCTTGTCGGTAATGAGTCTCACAAAACACGGAGTAGGAATGGGGCTGGAGTTGGTTGACCAGGCAGCGCCTACAACACATCCTCACTTGCCTCTCTGGTCAGCTGGGAGGCCTCCTTTTAGAGAACTTTCTTTTCTATTAGCACTTAGAGATCTGACTGCTTAGCTTGTTGAAACTAATGGTTATGCTAAGACATGGAAAATATTCCTTATTAAAAAACCAATGAGAAACTGGTGCTCTATAATTACTATAAAAAGATGCTTCTCACTTGGGAAAAGAAAACATCAAAATGCAAGCAGTAAAGGCAGTTTAAGTATGGCTGATTCATTTTAACCTACTTTCTAGATTTTTTTTGGTAAACATGGTTAAGATGCTTTTATAATGAAAAATAAATAAATAAAACAATAACAGTAAGAGGTTAGGCACCTCCATCCAGCAAAAAGATGGGCTTTGCTGCAGAATAATTTGTGCAAACTCAACTATTACAAGTTCTCAATTTTTCATGACAACTAGGTAAAAAAAAAAGGCATAACTTTAGTTCATTTACAGATGACCCTAAAAACTCATTTCAGAATTTAAGCATTCATGAGGGAGGGCACTAGGTCATTTGGATTACAGCATCTTTTTTTTTCCTTTTGTCAAAAGGTAGAGATGAGAAAAGCATTTTTATTATCTTCCTTTCTTTTTGAAGTGTTTTCATGGGTATGTGGCTTTATTCCCCCACTGCCTCACGAGGTCGGGATGAGAAGTATTACCTGGCGCACACCTCCACAGCGAGGTGGCAGAATGCATCTGAGATCACAAACTTCCAAACTTACTACCTGGAACTCCTTCAGGAAGGACCCGAATTCCTTCCAACCAACGAGCATGCACTGACTCCCCAGAGCTCAATGCTCCATGCCTCTGGAAACAGACGGCTGGTTGGACACAACATAGCTCCTATCTTCAGTTCAGAAACACTTTAGGTCTGTTTGTCCAATTCTGATAATGCACCTCCGTCATTTCTCACACTGGCTCTGCGGACAGTGATGTATGCAAGGGCTTTGCTCAGCTGGTGACAGATGCCTCCCTTCTGTGGCAGGGAGTGGCCTTGATGAAGCAGCTATGGAATAGCATCAGCTCCTAGCAAAGAGGCTTTAGTAGCAGTCCATCCATCTGCAGCCCTCGCACAGTGCCCGGCACCCCCATAAACCACATTGACACTTAGAAGGTATAGTCAGCTGCTCTCTTTGAAGGCTTTCCGTCATGCTGCGCAGGGACCGTCTACTGCCGTGGCTTGCCTAGGTCCACTTCTCCCTCTCACGAGGACTGTACTCCAGTCCCTAGAAGGATACAGCCCAAGTGGAGGCTGTCAATCAGAGTCCCTTCTTTTCTGTGCCAGGGAGGAGCCTGGGACCGAAGCTAGGATTCCCTGATGAATCTGCCCATTAGTTTTGCCACCCGGATCCCCAGAATTTTCCCTGGTTCCTATCCTTCCTCCCTTCAGGTCTTTAGGTTTTCTGTGAATTCTGTGATCTATTATGTCTTTGATTCAATTCCCTTCATACTTCCAGTCACCACAGTTGGTTTCTGTTGCAAAGAGCATGACATGCAAACCCATGCACCATCAGACCCATGAACACAGGCCTCAGCAGCATGCAGTCACTGGGAGCCCCGGGACACATGGCCTGACCTCCATGAGCTTCAGTTCCCTTTCCCGGTCATGAAGATGGCAAGACCTACATCCATTTGCAGTGACAACTAATGAGGTAATGTGCATACAGTTCCCAGTACAGCGCCTGATACCAGCTGGGAGTTCAGTGAGTGTTAGGTTGGCCTTCTGCCTTATTTGATAATTTTATAATGGCTCAGCAAAGCTCTTCTAAAATAAACCTTCAGGGTGTGTAGGGATGGTCCTCTGGTGCTGCATACTTGGTCGCCAAGCTCACTCCTTCAGACAAAGGCCTACTGTAGGAGGAAGTCCAGCCAGGGTAAACCTGAACTCTAGGTATTCAGCCTCCCAAAATACACACTCTTCACTACGACTTCCATGCATACTGGGGGTCCACTGCATCCCAAAAGCATTTTCTTGGTAATCAGAGCCATAAGTCC